ATAGTAAAAATTTTCTCTTGTGATTGGGTATAAGGGAAAGGGAAAAAAGAAGATTCTATTTCATTTTGGCTTCCTGCAATGGCAACAACCTTACATCAATGTAAGCATTGATCCTTCCTTCAGGAAATATTATTTACACTTTAGTGGGTAGAAACTTGGACTGATAGAAGAATGGTTTTTCGCAAGAGTATTTATAGTACCAATAATTATTTTTCTATGTATTGAATATCTCTTTACCATTCAACATTATCTCGATTGGGAATAGATTCAAAATTTCAGTAATAAATGTATCAAGGTCATATTACAAAAAGCTGATGTTAAATTTAGTTATAAAAATAAAATAAATTCATATAAAATTTGTTGTATCTCTTCTCTCATCTTAAGAGTATTTTGCTTGTTTTCCTAGAAAACTATTTGCACTTAATACTTAAATTTTATAGAGATTTATGTGTTACATCAGGAAGAAAAGCACTCTTTTATGAACAGATGTGAGGAAACTTGAATTTCAGAGTGCTTGTAATAAAATTGTTTAAGACTCTAGGTATGCTGTTTGCAGCAGGCTTGCATATGAAAATTATATATATCAGAGTCCATGATTAGGAGAAACTGAAGCAATTAAGATGAAGGTGAGGACCATATTTTCCCTATCTTCTGTCAGATGCCCAAATGACTTGCTAGTCTAAATTTGGTTCTGTAAAAGTTGGGCCAATGTTACAACCAAGTTATATCCATTTAAAGGAAACATTTCAATTTAGGATCAGTAACTGCTTCAACACATAGAAAAACTGCTTTGTTTTCAATTTAAAAGCATAATAGCAAAATACAGTAGCAGATGTTCCAACAGTAGTACTTCTCAGAAACATAACTGATCTTAGTATATAAATTAAATGAAACGAGAGTCCAGGCACAACTCAGAGGACATAGGATTAGTTAATGACAACATACAGAACACAGACAGAGTCGGACAAGTGGTGTGAGTGGTTAGGAAACCATGAGTTAGCATTCCAGATAAATGGGAGAGATAGGTCTGGCAAGACTCACTGATTTACAGCCCTAGGTAATTAAGCACTTTGGACAGTTCCCAAAGACACTGCTTCCTTCCAGGTACTTAGAGAACCAGACAACCAGACCTATTCATTTAATGCTACCTCTTGGTGTCTCACTTACACCTGCATGTAACCTTAATACCAAAGGAATTATCTGCATTCATCCAAAGAACTCTGTGACTGTGTTCATATGAAGACTACACCTTCAGCCCTGACATGAAGGTTTGTAATGTTCATGTTACCTGAAGTTATGACAGGCTCGCTGCTGGGCCTTGTTCAATTAACTTAATTTTAAACTTGAGTGACTATGAAAAGGTAAAAAAAGATCAGCTGAGTTACAGAAGAGTCTCTTTACCAACACTTTATGGTCCCTCAGAGCCAAAACCTCTTGGTCATTTGCATTGAAGGCCATTCAGCAGCTGTTTTAGAGAAAACTGAAATGAGGTTTTCAGCCTGGGTTGGGTTGGTGACGCAGGAATAAAGCTTTAAGAATCTGCTGAAGTTCTGCCTAGGGCCATTTGGCCTAACTGTAGATGGTAACTCAAGCACATTAAGGCCTTCCTTGCAGCCTCTGGTAAGTCACAGAATTGCTCCTCTGGAGCAAGGACTTTGAGCCAATTCCTAAGAGGGAAAACTGCAATTTAGGGCAGTTTACCCGATTTCCAATCAAAGGACAGATTCTGTTTTAGCTTCATTTATTCAGCAGGATTAAATTAGAATCATTCACAATGACACAAAAATGTATACACATAAGAAATGCTTAAAAGAATACATTCTTCTTCAAAACTACTTTTCAGATAAGTGTTTCCTATTCTGAAACTGGGTAGTGTGGCAGAGGGGAAGCACAGACACACCACAAGAAGAGCAGCTTAACCAGACATTTTGTGCAGGTCTTCCTTGATCTTTGCTAATGAAAAATAAATGGGTGCCCAGTCTCTAAAAGAAATGCTCCAAGTTTGGAAGTCTTATAACCAAGAAGTGGCAGGGGATATCTTTCTACCTCCAGTTGCATTAACAGTTTTCCTGTTTTGGTTTGTGGGTTGGAATCAATCTTAAGGGCCCCACATTGTTAACAAGCATGTAACTTTAATGCTTAGTGTAACTCAATACCTTCTTAATTTCTTTAGTAGATTCACAGATATTAGAGATTAGTTTTCTAGTCTTGCTCAGGGCTCTAAACAGTACTGAGAAAGCATTAGAATGTTTTAGCTGGAGGAGAGAAGGAAGCAATGGTCCTAACACCGTAGGAGGAAGGACACATATACCAAGAACAACTGGGACTTTATTAAAGAAATCTCATAAGAGATTGACATCCTGAAGGTGTGACAAATATAAAAGTTCTTAGGTATTTGTCTAGTTGAGGAGCACATGATTGTTAATCTTTGAAAGCACCAAAGCAGAAAAGACATTCCCTAGGTTTCCTTAATGAATAATACATGAAGTGTTAGCCCTGAATCTAGAGCTCAGGATCCAACCTGAAGGAATATCAGTGGATTTTATTAGGATGTCAATTCTACTGGTTTCTCAGCTGTAATTGTAGGAAAATGTGAGATTTGAGAATGTGCCATAGGTGTCCTTGCAAATAGTTATGTGACCTGAGAAAAGAGCACTTTATTTCTCTAAACATACCACCAAAGTCATATATTTAAATCTGCATTATTATTCTATGATCAGTTCTATGTAGGCTGGGGGTGATTAACAAGTTGGTACCAAACTGATCAAACTTAATCAAACAATGCTGAAAAGAAGTCTGAAGAAAATTTACAACAACCCACTCTGGCTCATGAAACTTGGTTACATTTGTGTGGTTTCAGAATGTTTCCCTAAAAATCCAACTGGAAACTAAAATTTAAGCCAGATTATTCTTGAAAATATATTGACATTAAATTTCATGACATCTGGTTTATCATGAGAATACTGGAAATTTAACATGAACATTTAAGGGTTTTGTTTTGTTTTGTTTTGTTTTACCTTCTATACAGTTAATACAATTTTTATTCTTAAAATCAGAGAAAAAGTCATATTGTTAATCATCCTATTATTGGAATGTTCCTGTTAAGACATGGGCTCTTTGCTACATAAATGTTATTTTAAATAAGGTAATTAAATACAATACATTATTATGGTAAACCTGCAAACTAATGAATGCCACTAAATAATGTCACAAAGCCCATAGATGAGTATACTACAAAACTTATTGTTTACTTACTGACTGCTTTTATACCATTATTTTTCATTCATAATTTAAGGCAGCTTATGTGATTCACATATCCTCTTTATTTAAAATATTTTCAATCAGCCCTGGCTGGCATGGCTCAGTGGATTGAGCACTAGCTTGCAAACCAAAGGGCTGCTGGTTTGATTCCCAATCATGGCACATGCCTGGGTTGTGGGCCAAAGCACCCAGCAGGGGGCACTCAATAGGCACCCACACATTCATGTTTCCCTCTCTCCCTTCATTCCCCTTTCTAAAAATAAATAAAATCTTAAAAAAACCAAAATATTTTCAATTAGTCGCCATTACTATTCATTTTCAACAATCTGAAGAAGAAACAAGACCCATGTGTAAAACCATTTTCTTTTCCTGTGTATTTTTGCCTATGTCTTATAAATTTGGACATAAACAACTAAATGTCTCAGCCATAACTTAGGCATATATCTCAGCCTAAACTGCTTAAGGAGTGTCAAGTAAAAGAAGAGATTTTAATACCTCTAACAGCTAAAAAAAATTGAGCTCTTAAATAATTATAGTCTACCGATCATCTGCAGATAAATGAAGGCATAAGTGGAGAGCTGAACATTAATGAACCCAGCTTATTTGCTGATGGTAGACCTCAGATATTTTATGGGCTAAGCAGCCATGTATAAGTCATGAGTTTTGTTTATAATATCACTCACTATTAATTGCAGTTCAGTAAACTAGACTCATTTTTGGACTTAATAATACATATAAATATAATTTACACTTACAAAAACAATGAAGATGGAATAAAAGTATTATTTTATACTTTTTTGTTTTTTTATTTTAAAATCTCATTCATACACAGACATAATTTCATTACACATAAACTACATGTATATAGATGTTACTTAAATAAATGAGATCTTATCAACATGTTATTTATTTCTATTTTTCAATGCTATCATTTCTCTTTCTCATCTAAGACTACTGAGGCTCAGAGATATTTACTGGGTTACATAATATTTATAGTGGGTAAGTAATAAGGCAGATTGTGGTTCATGTTACAGTGCTCTTTCCATGGAAGCCTACTTCCCACATTCAAGGTTTTAATTTCATCTCTTGTTCACGTTTGACTCGGTTACACAAGGAGCCTTGTGTTTCTGCTAGAAGGGGTGTCCAACCCTTCGGCGTCTCTGGGCCATGCTGGAAGTAGAGTTGTCTTGTGCTATGCGTTAAATACATTGTAACACATAATCGCAAAAAAATTTCATAATGTTTTAAGTAAATTTGCGATTTTGTGTTGGGCTGCATTCACAGCCATCCTGGACTGCAGGTTGGACGCCCCTGTAAGATCTTTGGCATTCATCCATCGATCCTATTTTCCTATCCCATAATCTTCCATGGGAGGCAATGAAAACAAGTGAAGTGAAATAACAGGAGATATAACAATGGGGCTTCAACTCAAGCCCTGTGCTCTTTTAGTTGCTGCCTGGAGATGAAGGCAATTTATCTGCAAGATCACAGCTTAGCCTCGTTAAGATTTTACAAGACACTTCAGAGGGTATGTACATACACATTGCTCTTGGCATCATTAGAGTGGTATTAATTCAGATGTATTTTAACCTTTCTTTAGGAAATATGTTTCTAAAATGACCTTATTAAAGCTTTCAAACCAAAAACAGTAGCATATTGGTAACACCATGTCTTAATGAATTTCAGAGGAGAAAATATGGTGTGACAAGGAATAGATAATGCAGTAGAGCTGTGCTTACCTTCATAAGTCCCACTTTCCAGGAGAGCGCCACTTTTCTCCAATTCCATAAAATCTTCAACTGTGATGAAGATATAGTCCACTCCGGGGACCTCACCCTCCTTATGTGGCCTTGTGGTGCCTGAATAAGGAAAATTAAAAATGAAAGAAAGGCTCTACATGGTTTATTGTTGGACTTTAGAAATATCATAATACTTCTGAATATCCAATAACAGTTGTTTGTACATCCTGCTAGTTAGCGTTTTGCATTTGTCCTTCTGTTTCTTTGGAAACATAAAAGAGCAGGGGTAAGTGTTGAAGTAAATATACAAAGCATTTTTCTTCTTCACACTTATAAGGAATCATTGCTTTGGAATGCGGCTGCACAGATTTTTTTTTTAGTGAAAAATGCAGACCATTGTGGCTTTTTTGAAGAGGTGGTTTGAATACTGGGCCAGGAGCTTGCTAGCTCAGGAATTTACATATCTTATTTCCATGAATGGACCTCTATTGTTCTGTAGACTGCTTTGCTATGACATAAAATACAATGGAAAATTAAAATGTTAGCAAAATGTAATTTATTTGTATATTTTCATGATCTGATCTTCTGGGGCTGAGATCATTGGTTTTCATTTGTTAATTTTGTACCAAATAACTTACATTTGATTGAAAGGATCATAAAATCATTATTACTTAAAATTAAATAATAGTTGGAATTGAGTAATAATTATCATTGAGTTAGTATAATGTTCATAATAGAATTTCCTTCTTCCCTCCCTCCCTCCTTCCCTCCCTCCCTCCCTCCCTCCCTTCCTTCTTTCTTGCCTTTAATTCTGACTGAATTGGGGGGTGACAGCATGGGCCCACCACTCCTGCTTCCTGTATCACCTATAAGGTAAATGGAGCATATGTGACCTGTAGGACAGCTTGTGGCTCATTACATGTTTGCTGAAAACACAGCTTCCAGAATTGCTGTCCTGTTCATTAGGCAGAAACTAAAATACAGACATATGAAAAGCTGTGGATTTGTTTCCTGGTACATTCCTTCCTTAAACATTCCCTAAGTCTCTTCTTTTCTTTTTCTATGCCCACTACATAAGACCTTTTGCATGGTCATATTGGAATTTACATAGTACATACTTAAGAATATCATGCAGAAGGCAGATATATAGGCAGTGATACTACATTTGCAGACTTTTACATATTTAAAATCTCCTCTATATTCTCTATATACTAAACAAAAAATATTTCAAACCCTTAACTTCTATTTTCACTCCCTGAAATCTTAATCAACTAAGCCATGGCAACAGCCAGTAAGTTCTCTTTTTGGTCTATTAGGATCAAATCTTTACTGCAAATGAGAGGCATAAACTAACATCAGAATATACAATGAGCTTGAGATAATTGATTCTTGGTAAAAATGAATAATTTCCATTGAAAACATTTTTTAAGATTTGAGGGCATTAGTTTATTTTTTTCTATAATCATGTTAAATGGCTTTTCCCTGAATTTGTTATTTTATTTTGTTTGAGTCATATTTTGCAATATTACCTACTGTTTTTATGCTATTAAATATAAACCTCCCACACTGAGTATGCATAATGTTGTCAAATTAATGTTTCTATGAGAACCTTAACTTTTAATATTGACTTTTATGTGCTTAACCCTTGTGAATTAAAAGTACATTATCATGGTTTTTTGGCAATCAATTTGTTTTTCTGTTTATTTGGAACACACTCTAATCATTAAGAAAAATCACATAACAAACTTTCAATTTTCCTTCCTAATTTATCTGCATATATCAGAAGCTACACACTTTAATTAATTACCTTCTTGCAGTGTGGTAATGCATTCCTAGCACAATGTGAGCACAGGAACACATGCTTGAGGACAATTTTCAGTGCTGCCAACTTGACTGGAGTTACTCCCTGGTGCTAGCTGTAGTGAATGCATTTGTGATTGCACCTTTTGGGAGGACCATCAGTACTTTGGTTCACTGGGTGGTTTTCCATTTCCACCTTGTACCTCAGGCAAACATGACTGAGTTCTTGCATCAGAGATACAGACTCTCAGTGGCTGCATCAGAATCACCTGTGACTGTTGATCTACTTGACCTTGGTTACCTATTTGGATTGAGGGTTGGCCTATTTCATTGTTGCCTGAAGAACTTCTAGACTACAGTCTCAAATGCTGCAATTACTAGCTTTGACATTGATCTTTCATCTTTTCCCCTTTTATACTTCTTTCTAATTATACCCTCCAGTTCATTTATCTCTCCTAATTTCCCTGATATTCCCCAAATTTGACTTCAGTTGCCTCTTTAAGTAGTAAGGGACTGGGAACAATGTAGAAACTCTTTTTTCTGTTAGTTCACCTTCACCATTTCCTTACTCTTAATAAGCCTGCAAGTTCACTATTAGCTATTTCACTCATAGAATGCAGTTGTTATAGGAAACCATAAACTTTCACTGAAAAAGTACCCAACAGATTCCGGTTATCTAATATCAATTTGTTTTACTGACGTTTAGCAATCCTTTTATACAGGGGTCCCCAACCTCCAGGTCGAAGACCAGTACTGTTCCAGGCCTGTTAGGAACTAGGCTGCACAGCAGGAGGTGAATGAGAATGTAATGCACTTGAATCATCCTGAAACCACCTCTACCCTTCCCTATCTCTGTCTGTGGAAAAATTGTCTTCCACAAAACCAGTCCCTGGTGCCAAAAAGGTCAGGGGCAGCTGCTTTTATATATATGTCTTCCAGCCACTGTGTCACGATCCCAACAATTTTATAATACTCAAATGCATTGACTTTCAGCAGAAGATACTAGTTCATTCTCTTTTTGGTAAAATAAAAGATAATCTGAAATCATATTCCCTAAAGTTTCCTAAATTTTACTTCCATTATCAGCATTACTTCACTCTTAATTAGAGACATGCAAGGTCTGTCCACAAGGTTTCCAGCTATGTACTATGAAATATAGAGACATTTACTGAAGAACATACAAGAAACATTGTACATAGGACAGTGATGCCTCAGTCCTCTTCAAAGTAGGCACCCTGGGACACCAACAAAGTTCTTCCAATCCCCATCAGCTGCCCTGCTGTATTTTCCTGAATCTCATCAATGGTTCCAAAACTCCTCCCTTTCAAAGGTGATTTTAGTTTGGGGAAAAGCCAGAAGTTGTAGGTTGCCAAATCTGGACTGTAGAGGGGCTGAGTCACCTGGGTGATTTGATGTTTACCCAGGAAACTCTGCACAAGACATGATGCATGACTGGGTGTGTTGTTGTGATGATGCTGCCTATCACCAGTTGCCCATAGCCGCGGCCTTCTGAATCATCTGAATAGTTTCCACAAAGGAATGTTCAAGCTTAACACAAAATCTGATGCAGATTCGTTGCTCTACTTGCTCAGTCATTTTAAATGTGATGGCCACAAGGCACACAAGTTCACTCAATGGCATCTACCTCCGCTGACTAGTACAGGGAAGTTATCACTGTTCATGCATGTGCATTCCAGTCCATTCTCCTTGGCTGCCAGGTTACATCAATGTCGCTAAAACTTCTTGTTATATTAACAATGGCTGGACTTTTTCCACACAGGCCCTTGTACATACATCTTGTTAAAACAAATCCCTTCTCCTTTACCTTCTTTCAAGTTTAATTTTGATTTTTTTAAATCAGAGTTACATACACAGATATATTAAAGATTCTACAATTCTACAAAGTTAGTCATTTTTTTTTAAAGCTGATTGTCATCTCCTCACCCCCAGGAACACACCTTTCCCTTCACCTAGAGGCAAACACTTTCAACTCTTACAGTTAATTCTTTTGCTTTACCTTCACATCTTTAAATAAGTTATTTACAATGTTTCTTCTTTCCTTAATTTAGTCATTATTCCTTGTTTTCTTGATAAAGAAAATAAGGATTTATGTTTTTCTAGCCCACAATTTTGCACATCACTGTGTCTTTTTCTCCTCCTGTATTCCCAACAGAATGAACATGAGCTTAGATTACTATTTAATGTTTACAGTAATAATACTATATAAATCTCTTTCCAGATGATCCTTTTAGTGTACTAATTGTCCTTTCCTGTATAGCTTTTTGTTTACTTTAGATTTAATATTTTTATTTCCAATTTTCAGGTATTAATAAAATAATTGTCTTCACAATGGATAACTACCCCCTCAAAATATACCTGTACATTTAATATCTCATCAAAATTATATTATTGAAGAAACCTCCCCTGGAGCCTTCTGACCTGCTACAGTGTCAACCGTGTTGGTCTACCACTCAGCAGTCATCCTGGGATCACCTGCCATCATCCTAGGGTGTTCACTTTGCTTCTTCCCTGTGTTATATTCTCTCTTTCCCAGATCATATGTCTCTTTTTGCGGTCTGTTCCCTCATTTTGACAGAGCACATCTGTCAGTAGCTTTCTGTCAAAAGTTGTGTGAAAGCTACATTTTTAAGACTGCATGACTGAAAATTTATTAATTTCACCCTCACAGATAGCAAATCAGATTCAGCATTTCAGGAAAATATCATAATGAAAACATATTTTCTCCATCATGCTCCTCTATCAATATCACCACCATTCTTCCAGTCATCCATTCTTTGAGACTTTCCCTTAGTCACATTTGAGGTCTCCTTCATTCTTTTATTTTATCTCCAAATATTTGTCAGATTCTATGCCCTGTCATCTTTCCTTTCTGCACTATCTCCACTAAAAAACTTTCCCCAGGATCAGGCAACAGCTATGTCACTGGTGTGCCTGCCTCCACCTCTTGGTTTATTACTACATTCCCTGATTAGCCCTGGTAAAGCCTGAGGATGATCTACATACCTTCTCCAAAGGGCTTATCTACCCAATCGCTAGTCAAGAGACCAAGTTGGAAACAGTAAGAAGAGGAAAATACTAAGAGTTAAAAAGAGTAAAAAACAAGCTCATTTTCTAATATTAGCAGTAAAAGGCAACTCCTATGGTGTGCCAGGTTGTAGAGTCTCTAGGATTAACTTGCCTTGATGGGACATGTACGGGTGTGATTTAAGAATATTCTGCTTAGGGAGAGAGAATAAAAATGGCGGAAGAATGAGTGGAAGTCACACTGACCTCCTCCTAGGGCCAACCTGGAATTACAA